AATTCTTCGAAAAAGAACCTTTTTCTCTGCTTGTCTTTCTCCCCCTTCTCCCTCCTCCCCCCCTCTCTCTCTCTCTCTCTAAAAAAATACAACGTGAAATAGTAAATACAACAAAATAGTGCAACTGAGTAAACTAATTGTTGACTTGGGAGAAATCGGTATGTCAATAGTAGATGTTAGGCTTTATACGATAATTACAGTATCGTCACCACGGTACCTCGCTGAGTCAGTCGTGAAATCGAGGCTGCGATTAATAAAACATAACGGCGCCTAAGCGTTAAACCGAAGGCACAGCCTTGCTTCCTGGCAAGGTCGAAACCAGGGTTATTCCGAGACGAGAGGCACCTTTCATTAAAGAAAAAAAAACCGCGATCACCCGCGATCGTTATCGCGAAGTCGTCCGTCCGTTTCTCGCGAGAGTTTTACGAGATTACAAGCGTGCACAGATTAGGATATCTCTCAAGCAACGCGGAACGTGCTCGAAAGTCGAGACCAGAATACCAGGGTTCGGAAATACCGCAGTTTCTTGCGCCGAGGATTGTCATTTCCAGGAAATACACAGCGGCGTCTGCGGGACGCGGAATTATTCGATAGTGCAAAACGCGTCCAACCTGTTTCCCGAATCCCACGAGGCTGCGTTTACGCTCGCATGAAGAAATACGTATTTGCTTCGACATCGAAGCAGCATTACTTCCAGAAGGCATTATACACTTTATTCCACGAAGAGCATTCGTTTTCCATAGGTAACAATAAGGCCTGCATTCATCCCTTCTTTTATCGAAATAACGCATATTTATTTCTGTGATTCTATTATAGTGTATGTAACGTAAACTATATGTATACGCTAAATGCGTGCTTTATCGATGAAAGTGAGATGTGAATGCGGTCGTAAAAGTGAACGTATTTCATGAGATTCGCATTAAGATTCCGGAGTACATTCTTAAACTTAAATTTTGAATCGATCTTGTTTCTGTTGACAAATGTAAATTTCGGCTAATCAAAAATTATTCTTTTGGACGAGCTAAACTTTGGAATGTGCATAACCGATTTAATGAATACGTGAAATATATTTGCTGTTAACAATAGGTTAATATAATAGATGCTAATGCTTCTCAAGTCTCGAAGTGCTCGTTAAATTTGTATAAGTTATTTGCTTCTTTTCGATAACCGTAGTGTAGCGATTCGTTCTAAAAACCTGTTTGAATCGTGATATCGAAGCTAAAAGCGATTTAACATCCATTTAAAGCAGTGGTTATCAATGACTAATAGAATAACTATGCAAAATCCCAAAGCTGATACATGTATGTACCTTTAATTACAGATACTTTATCGATCTGATATCGATTTCTCTTCCACACATATGTTACTAATAATTCTTTAGCAAAGAGAACAATTAAAAAACTATTCCAAATATTAAACTTTATGTACATATGAGCTAACATATTTTATAACACAACGTGTTATAGATTGCAACAAATCGAGATCATTGTTGATTATGAAACAGAAAGATACATTAAAATTTGATTGTTTTAATCTAAATACAATTGATGTGGAAAAAAGCAAAAGTGGATAAAGCAAAAAGCTTAATGGAAAGAAGCAAATCTATTTTTGTCTTAAAATTTGAATTTTGATGTAATGTGGATCATTGACCGACATTTCTTTTTTATCATTTACTTCATAGTCATACATGATGCATATCTCGAATATCTGCGATCGAACAGGATGACTCACAATCTGCGGGAATACCCCGAGGAATTTAATTTTATATTTATTCTTTTAGTCAATATTTATGAGATTATATATCAAGAAAAGAAATAACCGTTGTTATTCCAGCCAGGTATGATCCATTAAGATTTATCGTTTCTTTATTTTTTTCTAATCTTGCACGTCCGAATCCAAATGAGTTCTTAAGAAAATTTTATTTTATATTTATCTTGGCTTACGCACATTAAGTTTTCCAATATAGCTAACGCAGGAAAATTGCTGACCGCGAATTAATAAAGCAACTGCATGGAAAGGACAGTTTTGCAATTAACTTGAGCATTTTACATAATTACTTTTTCGGTCCAACAACATTATTTTTAAATCTGCATCCATAGTTAAATTTTTAGATACTTCAACAAAGTTGTTAGTTACTAGTTCTTCAATTTTATAAATGTAAATCGCAATAATATGAGTTTAGGTTCTTTTTATATATCGCATATGAATATTATTATTAAAACTCTTGAACATTAAATTTTTCGAAATAAAACATACGGAATAGAATACAAGAAACTTGTTAACCTAATAAAGTATTTTGAAACAACTTTTATTTTCAATATCTTTCGATCTCGGATTTTCTATTCATATAAGACGTAACTTATGACCCAGTGTGTTCTGTGTTTAAAAAATAATCTAATCTTATATTCTATCAATATATATAATATATATGTAATAATTTATTTTTTAGATACCACTCGATTTAGCGGCTAAATTAAATGCTATAGACTCGTTGGAGGAGTTTCTGCAGCTTTTTCACAGTGGTCCACATAATACCGAAAGGGGTATCTCGTTTGTCAGTAAGTATAATTCGCTACTGCGTTATCTTTCTTACTAAATGTAAATATAAATAATGCAATGGTGAATAATAATCTTAAGGAAAACTCATCGTAGATAAGAAGGAGTAAACCAGGCTTGCAAATTTGTAAACTCGTTGCAAATTCCACTTTATTGAACAGAAACATCAAGGATAAAAATCTTATTATTATAATTATAAAAAATTAGAAAACACGTCGTCAAACAAACATTTGGAAATATATTAATATTATTCATCATGTTCTAACATCTCGTATAAATAGATATTATATATAATTATTAAATACCACAGTTATACAATTAAATACATTACAATTATAATAATTATCATAGGGAAATTAATAGTTTATAAAGATACAAATAAAGACATCGCGATAAGATCAGTATTTTATCAACTAAGCAGAAACATAAATTAAATCGCGGCGCGGTAGATCTTTTGATTATTCCGTTGTTTATACAAACGCGTAATTATCATTGTAAACTGAGATCATCTCATAACGTAAATCATATGTATATATTTTGATACTTTCAGTGCATGTGAATTAAATACTAAGTAATTATAAAATAAATATATTGCATGCTTAAAATATATTTTTCAACCTTGCAAGAAAAAAAATGGTTAAATGATTTTTCGATTAACACAGGAAATAGTCTTTCCGTTACAAATGAAAATTCTCGTATCCGGTCAATTGATTCTCCTGACGATATTATCTAACCAAGAGTAAATACGTGCAATTATCGTCATTTGGCTACAAGCTTGTGCGATAATTTTATATTGTTATTTCTTGTGTGTTAGATGTATTAACTTGGACTAAACGAATAAACGATCTCATGAATTTGATACATGACATCAAATGGTTTTTTATTCGGACAATCGGAAATCAATTTACTGTTGACGTAACGCAAACAAAAATGCGAATTGGGATCTTTTTTCGCTATTTCAGCCTCGAAAAGTTTTAAAAAATTTTCGCGATCCTCTAAGAAGTTTAAAGGTTGTAGGTAACCGCCGAAATGATTTACATCTGGTATTAATGTATTGCTAATTTGAATCGTCTCTTCTAAACTTGGCAATTTACTTTCCTGTGTTCTATCTGTATCGTGACATACCTTAGTCGATTTGCGAGCAACGCAATCATTTTTCTGTGCATTATGGCATTTTCTAGTAATCTTCGACGAATCGACATCATTTAGAAACGAATACGTGATCTGCAGCTTGCATTTTCGTATCCAGATTTTCTTTTTAATAAATGAATTTGACCACTGATATGGGGAAACTAAAAAATATAATTTAACATTTCTAATATTTATATTATTGGCAAAATATGTAAAAATTATTTCTGTGATTTCATTTACATGTAATTT